TATACTATACTATACTATACTATACTATACTATACATACTAGACAGCTGCCGTATATCCCCATCTCTCCTTTTCTTTTTACCGGTATGTTAGTTACCTCGACGCTGTAATGTGACGTATTTGACAGTACATGTGCGTATTACTTTAACTCAATCGGGAAAAAAAAGAAACGTAGAAAAAGCCAGGAACTTGTAGCTCCTGTGTCTTCTGGTATGAATTTGTCATGACAACCAGCACAAGGAAGCGTGATATTTATTTTTTTTATTGGGGGAGGGGGGGTATTCCTCAAATTGTCTGGACTACCTTGTGAGTCGTGATTGTGAAGGGGTAGTGGTGGCGGAGACGAGAAACCACATTATTTATGTTAGAGAAAAGACGCAGAGAATTCATAATCAGCTCCTGGTTTACCGCACTTATCCTTGCCCCCAATGTTGGTGAACGAACGATGAATAATATTTCTAGTTTATTACAATAAAGAAATTTTTTAAAAGAACTACATTAAGTGGGTGCGGGTGATTGAAAGACGCCACTGCAAAACCTGCTTTCTTCACTGTCTTTCCCTCTGTTGTTTGCCTGTCTGCTTTGACTTTTCCCAGCACAAATTATACTAGCACACTAGCACGGCCAATAATATCCATTATGTCGATGTGCCTCTCTTTACTCAAACAAACAGACATAAGCGCTGTGGGTGATTTGCGGGTGCTTTGGTGTGGTTTGCTCCTTTCTTTCCTGTCAAACATCAATTGTCCTTATCTTTTCTCCTTCTGCTTTGTGTTTGTTACTCTCTTGAAACACGTCTAATCTTTGGCACTTACTTATATTATGAAATAATAGTGTTGCATGTGCCGTAAAACGCTTGCTTAAACAAACAAAAATGATTAAAATGAGTGTTGAATGCGAACGGACATATAAAAATTATCGGCCCCCACCGAGGTCTCCAACCATGCCGCCCACATCGAAATTTTTTTTTTTTTTACAAACGCGGAATTTTCCAGAAAAAAACCCTACCTCGCCTTGCCGAGTGCATGCATAGTACGTTTGCAAGCTCTATTCGAAGTTCAAATAATTTAAGCTCTTACACGAGTACACATGCGCGCGTGCACTCACATATAAACGCTCGAGCACACACACACACATACCACACACACTCACAAAACACACACACACACACACACACACACACACACACACTCACACACAGAGTTATAGTAGTCTACACTTTAGAAGGCACCACACCCCCATAACCCTCATAACAGACCCAATCTTCAGACAAAAACTTTTTAAACGCAATTAACTGCTGTTGAGTATGGTACACATTCACGTCCGCACACACACAAACACAAACACACACACTCTCTCTCTCTCTCTCTCTCTCTCTCTCTCTCTCTCTCACACACACACACACACACACACACACACACACACACACACACACACACTACAAAGGTTCACATAATATGTCTCTTTCACATAGCCTATCGTACACACATTCACTCACACGCACCCAAAGGTTCACACATGTTACGTGGATGATCTCAAATACCAGTACACTTTCTGAAATAAATTATCTTAAAGACTTACAAAGAAAATAACTATTAGATCTATAGTATAAGGCCTCTCTATACTCTATAGATTAAATTAGATTTTTGAAAAGCTGCATGTGGCTGAAAATATTGCACTTTGTTTAGGCTGCGTGAGTATCTGAACTCACTGGTCATTGAAGCGAGAATTATCTGGGTCTCAGGCAAACAAACAAAAGGCTAACGTTTTAGTAATACATGTGGCTGACCATGGTATATGAATATATGATAATAAATCAAGGAGCTTAAAACAAAGTAACCTCCTTGCAACAAATTTATTGTATGGACATGTTGTATTATCAGCCACGGGTCGAGCTACTGAATGGAGACGGATATTCAAGCCTGTAATCAATTTGTGATTGAATAATTTTCTCCAAGTCGTAGTGTGATCGACAGGGAAGATACCCGATTTAAAAAGTCCTATTATGTAGAAGAGAAAAAATGTCCGAAGAACAAAAAAAATCTAAAAAATGCTGATATGATGGACCAAAATTTTACTGTTCTATAACGAACTTTATCTGCTGTAGTTTTTTCCCCTCCCCACTTGTTCCTCATTTCTAATTTTAGAACTTTTATTGCTCACAGGTAAACAACAAAACAGGGCTGTCTGGCGTGTGGCAGAGGTAACGATAGCGTTCTCTCATGCACTTTGAAACATTGAACAAAGACAAATTGTTCATGCAGGTAGGCTATTCTATAGGAGGCTATTTTGTGTATATGTGATATGATCCAGATCTAGATCAAGATACCTAAATCTAGATCTAGGTGTCTAAATCAGATAACCACACGCAAAACACCAGTCTTGACCTGATGAGTGATGTAGATTCTACTTGAACATCAACAAGAAGGAACACACAATTTAATGTTTTGCAGTTGTTAGGTGTTTGATATCTCAGCTCGCCGCGAATCAAACGTATTGATCTAGATGTAGATCTAGATCTAGGTCAGGCTCAAATAAAGGGGTGGGAACTACCGAAAAAGCACCGCAAAGTGGAATGGCCAGCAGTCAGGTAGTCAGATCAAATGGCTGAGCCAGCTGACTGATAGATCTAGAGCACAGTTGAGTCAGTCTCATAGAATTTGAGAGTACAGTTAGGCTGGTTAAAGTAAGGAATTTAAGTTTTGCCTTCTTTTCTCTAACTTTTAACAGCTTAAGTTTGATATCTAGATCTATGTATGTACACAGAGATGCCAACCAGTACGATTTTACGTATTTTAGTACGATTTTTGGATGAAAATACGCGAATACGACTTTTCATGAAAAAATACGCATCCTGGAATGCGAAAACTTCGAGATTCAGCTTGGGCGAGTAAACTTAATTATCTCAAGTCCCATCTTTTGTCAAAATAGTATCAGTATCGCAGAACTGGAATATTTGAAAACCAAGTCCGATGTGGTCAGTAAGTTCATTTTTGCCGGTCGCGATCGTGATATTATATATATTCGTTCATCATTTCCCCGTCTGGAGAGTACGTTTCTCTTTCACGCGAAAAGGCAGCTATAGGCTATGGCGGCTGGCGGAAGCGTATGCGACACCGAGGCTCGATCGGGAAAATCAAGATGTACTTTCGCTTTCGTTACCACCGAGAAGTTTGCCAGCAGTTGTCTGATAACGCAACATTTGTGGCATGCAGGTTGTGCAGTTTATAAACACAATGTCGCCGTTCAAATAAAAATGGAAATGTAATTACTCTGACTCGTCGCTGTGCTGTCACTTGTGGAAAAAAAAGAAAAGAAAATACTAACGTCGTCCGATTTTTAGATTGTCTGGCTCGCCATCGTGACGGGTCACTGACCCTGTGCGCATTCGCGTCATAAATAAATGCGGCATCGTAGTGAGTAAACACCGTCTTTGGTGGGAGTAACGGCGTTGCGAAGTATAGGACTACGGAATAGGGGAGGAGATTGTTGATTTTTTTTGGGTTTAAGATACTATCGGGGGTTTAAGGCAACACCAGAGGACAAAAACTTGGAAGCACTTTTCAGAATTTTGATTAGAAGAGCTTTCTGCAAAGTGCGCGTTGGTGCAGGCCGTGTGCCGAATCGGGACCCCTCATACTTTGCAAGTCTGTGTTATTGAAATAAAGCGTTCGCGTTTCATTGGATGGGTAGTAAATTATACCTACTTGGATTGGTGATAGTAAATTATACCTACAGTGTATGTTGTAGCTTTCTGTTCAAGACTGGCAGATTTTCAGTGTCACTGCATCTTGCCCTACCACAGTTGTTACAACTCTCACAGTGTGAGTCACAGTGCATGGGTCTACTTGAGCCATTCAAGTTATTGCTTTTCTCTGAGTTTGAGCAATAATTTGAGTCTGTCAGTTCATAATATGAATCATGACACCCAGACTGGTTCTTGATAGTCGAAATTCTTGTTCTAAGCCCTTCCGAACTCTCAAAGCAGGATTTTTTTTTTTAATATAATAATGAGAGGAAAATATTATATATATAATAGACTGAAATACTTAAGTCGAACAAGACCCCAGTACAACATTGAACACTGACATGTTGTTGACTGGATACATGTATATTGCACGCGTGTGTGCTCCCTTTTTTGAGCTGGTGAGCTAGTAATTTTTTTTTGCTGGACACCCTGAACATTTTACTATTTCTGGTTGGTCGACCATCAATGATTTATTTATAGGGGCACCAGCCATCCATGTCCAGGTGCTGTTTTAGCCTACTGGTTGGTCGGTCAGTCGTGGGGAATACACATTTTCACCTGAAAATACACATTTTCATATTTCACAATACTCATTTCGGTTTTCTGTGGTTGGCATCTCTGTGTAAAGGAATTACAACCTCATTTTAGGGAGGAGTTCCACAGAGGGCCAGCACTTAATAGGATACCGTGACAAGGTCCACTGAGCAAACCACAAGAGTTAGGGTTAGGGTTAAGAGGTATCGCTCAAAATATCCCCTCTTTTGTGTGTTGTTGGTCGGCCGGCCATCTGCGGAACTCCTTCCTCATTTTGTGTATACAAAATAATTATGATAAATTATGGGTGACCTTATTTGGGCCACAGTGTGGCCTAAATAAGCTAAACCCCCCTCCCTTACCTTATTTAGGCCATATGTGGCCCAAATAAGCACTCCCATAAATTATAGGCCCTAATGTTAGATACGTGCTGTCGATTTGCGCGATCATGCATTTTGTGGATCCTTGGAATGCGCAACAATCCATCGATTGTTGTGCATTCTGTAGATCCACAAAATACGTTATTTAATTTAGTCATACGTATGACGTTAACTTCCGCTTAGTGCAATGTCAGATGGAAATGGATGCTCATCTGACGTTAACACACCTTTATAATTTTATTTCATAGCAGAAAAACGAAACACTGGACACTCGGGTAATTATAAGATTCACTACCCATTCTATGGATCCACAAAATGCATTGCACGATCCACCAATCGTGCAAATCGACAGAATGCGTGTCTAACAATAATTATAGGTCACCTTTATAATCCTTTATTCTCACCCCGAGGGAGAATAAAACCCATGTCTCACTATTCTCACCCCAGGTGAGAGAGAATAGGCCATGCCTCGCTATTATTCAGACCAAATCTGTTTTTGTAGTCTGAAATCTGCAAGGGCGGTAAATCATGTTAACTAGTTTAATAATTAAACAATCCAAGCTCTTTTCTTCACTTTCATTTTAAAAAAAATTCTTTCTTTTTCTTTTTTTCTCACCTCTTCTTTCCCCTTCTGCTTGAACATTTGGAGTTTGGAGCCAAAAAAGAGCCAGAGAGCCAAATGAAATTCTGTGGGCCGGACACGATCCAAAAGAGCCAAATTTCTGGGATTTTGGCTCAAAACTGACAACCCTGACTGTGACTATGCTGACACGAACAGTAACGAACACGATGCTGTGGAGCATCCCCCCCCCCCTGGGTCATGCCCGCTAACCTCAGCCCTGATCCCTCTAGGGTCATTTCCGGAAAAATGAGGGGATGAGAAAAGCGAGACATGGCTTATTCTCACCCGGGGTGAGAATAACCACTTCCATGATTATATAATAATAGTAATAGAGGTCTAATAACAGAGAGATCACAGCATTTCTGCAGCTCCCATTCCCACACAAGAACAGAAAGCTCTCATTGTGTGCTTTGTAATTACCCCGGCAGACCAGATAGCATTCTGAAAAAATCTCAGCTTCCTGGGAAGTATAGGCCTACAGTGCAAGCTACCAAGGCGCTAAAACACTAACATATACTGACAATATCTTTTGCTGTCTATAGACGGGTACCCATTCACACCTGGGTGAAGTGAGGAAAATTTGTGTCGTAAAGTGTCTCCAAGGACACAACGTCGAGCCTGCGGCATGAGCCTCCAAATCTGCAAACTCGTGATTACGTGTCTGGTAGCCTAACCACTAGACTACAGACGCCACAGTAAAATGTGTCATGGTGCAGTGGAATCAGGTGCTCGTCAATTTTAGGGCATATGGAGTTATTGGTGTCATCTTAAAGGTTGCTCATTTGCCTTGCTTTTGATGAAAAAAATATCCATTCATCTTTAATAGTATAGAAGTCGAGATATAAATATTGCGATTGAAGGAGGTGGGGTCGACTGGTTTCAGAGAAGTAAAATTAGCGAAAAAATGACTGTCAAAGTTTGGTGACTTCCATAGCTTTGGGTTCCTTGAAAACTGCAAATTCACATTTCTTGTGCCTTTTATCAATATTTTTTTTAAAAATCCACTTGTAAAAGTGTTTTTGAATGGACATACATGTACAAGGTGTTGAGCCAAAAAACAAAAATTTGAAAAAAAAATTCAAACTAGTGGAAAAATGTTGATTTCTCGGATTTCATTATTTTGACTATTTCACCACTCAGCTTCACAAATAATGATTTATACTTTGATTATTTAATTTTATCTATTTTTGTAGTCTGAATTAGAAAAGCTTGTTTGGGTGATATCAGGATACACTTCTAAAGGCCTTGGAGAGCCAGGACTTACTCAAGGCATGAAACTGATTTGAATAGTTCATCTTTATTAGATTAAAATGTTAATGAACTTACAGTGCAATAAAAAGGCTTTTTAAAATATAACATTGACTCCTTCATATATACTTCTTGTTCCAATTGTTCAGGTCATGTTATGGTAAGTGTTTTGGTTTCTAGGATGTTAGGTGAAGGTTTCTAGGGCATGTTTTTGGGAAGTGTTGCAGGTCATATATTGAGAACCGTCCTTCTTTTTTCTTTGTTGTTTAAAAGTATTAAAAAAGTAAGATCAGAAACATTTATGCACTCAGTAGAGTCAGACCTGTCCAAGACAACCACCCTTTGTCAAGGAGAAAAGCGGTCATCTTGGAAATATAATTCTTACTCTTTCTTTTTCAATATCATTTACGCTCATGCAAAGTTAACTTTCAAGATGATCACTATGTCTTAAGTATAACATTATGATCTTTTGTTTCTAGGAAGCTGCTGTTTGAATTATAACAAGACTTGGAAAAACTGACAGCACCAGTAGTTCCATTTGAAAGAGAGGAAAGTGATGTGAATATCCTCAGTAAGGGTGGCATTATAAGTTGTTCCAGTGAAGGAAAGTGAGAGCAGTAGCATCAAGCAGAGTGGCACAGGAACTTCTACTCAGACAACAGCTCAATCTGTTAGTAACATTAAATGGTAAAATATTTGTCTCTGGATCTTTAAATTGCTGTTTCTTGTTTCTCCTCACACATGCCTGTCAGTGTCATTCACCTCATGGTCTGTCTCAGAATCCCTTGGCCCTCAACCTAATTTTCTTTTAACCCTTGGGGTTTGCGCCCTTTCTTCCTGATGCTACAGTGCCCCTCTGCGGGTGCTCTGGTGTGGTTTGCTCCTTCTTTCCTATCAAACATCTGTTATCCTTATCTCCCTTCCTTCTTTTTTGTGTTTGTTACTCTTTTGTGACACCTCTAATCTTCG